CCTCCCAAAGTGCTGGGATTACAGGCATGAGCCACTGTTGCGGCCTAATTTTATTTTTTAGAGATGAATCTTGCTATGTTGCCCGTGCTAATCTTGAACTCCTGGGCTCAAGCAATCTTCCCACCTCACCCTCCCAAGTAGCTGGAATTACAGGCTTCAGCCACAGCCCTGGCTTAGTCTTATTTTAAGTTTGACTATTTGTTGGTGTTATTCAGGCAAGACTTTGAGAATTTTTAGTTTCTTTTATGTAAATCTTTTCAGGACAACAGTAACTAAATTCTTCTGCCTGGAAGTAATCACTAGTAATCAGTTAATGTGTAATCTGAGCCTAATGTTCATATTGTCGCCTTTGTTTTAAATGAGTAGCAATATCAAAACTTAATTATTCAAATTGGAAAACATGCATTGAAAAGTCTTCATAGAATTCCAGTATTATAAGAACCCATCAGACCCTCTAGTTATCCTGGAATTGTTTGCTACTTGAAAAGTCTGTGTGGACAGGATTGTACCATATTCCTTGGTAATAGGTTCCAATGTCTTTTCTTCTCTAAAATGGACTTTAAAACACTCTTTACTTTAAAAAAAGAAAAAGCTTCAATAATAGTACAAATATTGAGTTATCCATAGCATTAGTCTGTTTTTATGTACAAATCTATCCTTCCCCAGTTACCTGTTTTTCCAGATGGTAGTAGTGCCCCAGAAGGAAGGCGAGGGGCTCTGCTGTCTCTTGTTTCCTTTACACCATCCAGGTGACACTGCCGCAGTCTTCGAGGGGCAGCAGAAGTTATCTTGCTCCTGTGTTCCTTGCCACACACAGGAGCAGGGCCAGATGCCGACTTGCCTGTGCTATCTCCTTTGCTGCTTTGAACAGCACGGTCTCTTTCTGCGTGCTGGTGTGCAGGCATGTTGCCTGGCAGGAGCCTTTTAAAGGAAGAGCTTTGGATTTGCCCTGCAGTATAGAACTTGGCTCACATGCCAGCTCAGGACACCCTCTATTTCTATGTTTAATTGAACTGTATTTTCAGTGGTTCCTGAGTGAGCCATTGTTTTCTTAAGGAAAATGGATGATAATTTAGCACTGCCTGTATGATATCCTTGCATGCATTTTTAGATGGTCATCCAGTCTTCTTCCAGCCTTAACATTCTCTAGGGTACATGACCTCATTTACTCATAATGCCAATTTTTCAATGTGTCTTTGTTGGCTTCTTCATCTGCAGACCCCAAATAAGTTTCATTGGCTATTTGTCTAACAACATGTTAATGTTTTATATGTGGCAGATGCATAGCTTCATAATTTGGATTCTTTGCCCATGCATCACTCCTATTTTCATCTATTCGAATTCTTTGGCATTCAGATATTACCTGATACTAGTAAAATTTTAAAGTTTATTCTTTTATATTAGCAAGTATATAATGGATAGTTTACTTAGGTTTTCCTAAGTCATTTACTCTTCTTAAGGAAGGCCTATCTACAAGGTGGCATTTCCTAAATTCAGAAATGAAGTTTTAAAAAAACGTGAGAATCAAAAATCCTATAGCAACAGAAGCCTCTTCTATTGTAGGCCTTGGAACTATCCTAATACACTCCTGCCTTGCTTCTAAATTATTGTTAATGATGATGATAAATCTTGTGAGAAGTCAAATATTCAAGAAAAATAGGGTGACACCAAGACAGAACTAAAAAGATATTTCAGTGGCTCTTTTCCAGAAATGTGTAACTTTTCTTTTGTTTCCAGAACTTTGGTAGAAGTGCTTCTCTTCATTAAGTAAACATAAAATGTAAACATTATATATTAAATAATAGCTATGCTTTCCAGTGGCTCAGCTACTTAGAAGCTATGTTAGTAAGTCTTTTATACTTCTTATAGGTACAAATTTATATTGTTCATTGTGGTGGGAAGAGAGTAAAATTTGTCTTAACACTTAATTCAGAAACCTTATTTCTATTAAATTTACTCGTAACCGTGTATAACTAACTTGTTATGTCTTTTTGAATCTCAGTTACTCATTTGTAACAAGGAGATAGCGCTACCTTCCTCATAGGGGTGAAAGGAGGTATAAAATGAAATAATATTTATGAAAGCCTTTTCTAACCACAAAGCATTCTAGATGTATATGCTAGTGGTATTATTATTCCTCAAGTGGGGTAGGTTTAAATGTAGATTTCGCAAATGCGGGTTGAGGTGAGGAGTAGGGAGGGCCTGTATTCTTCCAATATGGGCCAAACTGAACTAGCGTCATTAGAAGGACTTGGAAGGTTGAAGATTCCAAGAAAAATGGAGAGCTTTCTGTAAAATTAAAAAAAAAATGCTGGATATATAGACCAGAATTTAGATATTTACCTAATATCCTCATTTTGGAAAACTGCTTTTTATAGTAATGCTGTTTTTAGATTTTTTCCCACCTGTACAGTTGATGGTTCTTAAATACTTTTGGAACACTTGTATTATTTAGATCACCTTCCAAATTATATAAATCATACCCATTGTAGTCAGACCTTGTTTGGATTAAAATAATATTTTGAAAACTGAGGGTAGATTCCAGTTAGGAGTTTCAAAAATTCTTTGACCTGGAACAACATCACAGTAATTAGGATACAGATTTACAGAGCCACTAACTAAAGGGAAAGGCACCAACTCATTCGCAATTTAGATCTGTTGCAAAATTAAAATGTTGCTTTTTGATCATACCTAACGCACATAGTAAAAGAACTACAACAGAAAGATGGCTAGCTTGATATGAAGCCTTTTGTGAATCATAGAAGGAAAGTATTAGATTAATTGGTAATTTATTTAACCTATTTTTATATATAAAACCTAGAGCCCAATATACAATAGATCCTTTTTCACAGTGCTTTTCACTCAAAATGTCTTTCATTGGGAATTGTTTATAGCCATCTATAATTTCACAGATCATGTTTTGTTTTTTTTTTAAAGGGGTACATTCTACTAGTCAACTGTAAGTGATTTCAAGTAAAAAAACCAATTAACACGTTTAAAACTTATATATATGGCCAGGCGAGGTGGCTCATGCCTATAATCTTAGCACTTTGGGAGGCGAAGGGGAAGGATCACTTGAGGCCGGGAGCTGGAGACCAGCCCGGGCAACATGGTGAGACCCCATCTCTAAAAAAAAATAGAAAAATTAGCCAGAAGTGTTGGTGCATACCTGTAGACCCTGCTACTGGGGAGGCTGAGGCAGGAGGATTGCTTGAGCCCAGAAGTTTGAGGTTGTAATGAGCTATGATGACACCAATGTGCTCTAGCCCAGGCAACAGAGCAAGACTCTGTCTCCAAAAATAAATAAATAAAATCTTTATATATTTTGCCTCATTAGAATGAGAAGCATAGTGTAAATCCAACTCAATCTCTTTTCAGTTTGGAACAGCTTCCTTTCACAGTTAGCAAAAATATTTTAATTGTTTTGAAAGAAAACTCATTTTTTTAGTAGCACCTTTTATTGTTGACATAGCCCAAATTTATATCCTAATCTGGAGGTTTGAGTTTGTCTCCTTCCTCCCCCCCCATTCTCTCATTTCTCCTTTGTAAACCCCTTAAGGCCAAGGATCCAGTTTCTTATCCGTGCCTGTTTCTATATGCAAACAGAACTGTGAACTCTTTGTGCATTCATTGGTGAATATCTGCAATAAATTATAGTCTAAATCGGTCTCTAGTCAATTTAGATATTGCTAACTTTCTCGGGTAATCTGAGTTGGTTTTTGGGAAATGGCAAATATAACTTACTGTTGATTAGTGACTGAAGAAAAGCAGCCACAACACAAATAAATCAAAATAATAGATAAATGGCAGATCATTTCAAGATTTTAAAGTATGTGGCTTTTTCTCCTCATTTTTTTCTCTTTCTCAATTGTTTGGCTTAAGCTGTTGTTTAAGTCAGTTTTTATTCCTTGTACACATGATAATGACTAAAAGCTGATAAGGATGGACGAAGATCAAAATAAGCTAAGTGGCAGAAGGAAGCCAAAGGTTACATGTAATCCACAGAATGAATAATTATAAGGAAGTAATCAAGAATTCACTGTATGTAGAAGTAGGCAAATGGACTGAAATGTTCACATACTGTATTTGTATGTGATTCACTATATTTGAGATGGGCAGGTACTGTATTCTAGTATTACCATTTTCCCAGTGTGTTAATTGAGAGCTCTAGTCACTTTAGTTTTAGTTTCTTTTCTGGAATTACCACCTTTCCTATGGCTAAAGGGAGAAAACACTATTTTAATTTGAGATCTGGAAGCATCTTCTGAATGTTGATATTTTATGTAACTGGCTTAGTTTGGGTGAGACTTTCTGTGAATCAAGTTTATATGTGACTTGGTCAGGGTTGTGTGTTCTGATAAGGAGCTGAGACTTAAATAAAACTTTTGCAACAATTATTAGGTGAGCTGATGACCACTTAGAACTAGGTTTATACCTTCTTCAGATGTAGGTCTTTATTTAGCTCTCCTCAGTCCACGGCAGTGTGTGGTCTAGAATATTTAGCTCCCACATTTGGAAATTTAGTATTAATTCCCAGATTTTGATAGTGGTTTGTGATAAGGTGGATATGTAGAAGTTTTATAGATAGATTATGTGAAAAAAAAAAGGCTTGATTTTAGTCACAGAACTGTTGCTAGAACAGAGGTTTCTTAGACTGGTTTATTTTGTTTATATTTAAAATACTAATATTTATTCTGGTGTAAGATTACCTGATTCCTATTTGGCAAATTTAATTTAAGCTATACAATCATAGCTACTTTTACGTTTTTATGCCTAAATATACAGAATGTTTAGAAATTCCTAATTTTTAAAAGAGGTGCTAATTATAGTGAGATGGCTTGCTTTGCCCCATAGCTGAGGGCAGTGACTAAACAGATCACATACTCAGTGCTAAATTAGAGAAATAATTTATTTAAACTTTAGATGTTCTTTGCTTTTCAATGAATTTCTCATAAAACTCAACTCTTTTAGAAGTGAGTTTCTGTTCTGCCATATTGAATATTTGTAATGCTGATGTTTTGTGTGTCTTTCAGGATTGGAACGGCTGCACTGGCAGTTCAGGTTGTGGGCAGTAACTGGCCCAAGCCCCACTATACTTTGCTCATTACAGGCCTATGCCGTTTCCAGATTGTACAGGTTTTAAAAGAGAAGCCATATCCTGTTGCTGAAGTGGAACAGTTGGACCGGCTTGAAGAATTTCCCAACGACACCTGTAAAACTAGGGAGGAGCTAGGAGAACTATCGGAACAGTTTTACAAATATGCAGTACAAGTGAGTTGCTTTTATTTTTTCCTGAAACCATTTTTTCTTTGGTTCTTTGCTGTCCTAAGATATGATGAATCTGCTGGATGGTGAAGTATTAGGGTGGTGTACATTTAAATGATTTAGTAATATATTAATTCCAGTTTGTTTTTGTCTAGATTGTACCTAAATAATTCCAGGACATATTAGCCTACCCTTTCTAAAGTTTTTCCAAAGAGTATTTCTGGAGCTTTCCTTATAACTTTCAGTGTCTCCAAATCAGATAATTATTAAACATAAATATTTAAAGCTGAAAATTAAAATACTGCACAGAAGCTTTTGTCACTAAAATATCTAGGCACCAAATTATATAAGTTATATTGCTTCAGAAGTCAAGGTGACGCTGTTGTGCTTGGCCGTGCTATAGAAGATTTAGCCTGTGGTGGACTAATTTCAAGTATGGTTGAAACCTCGATTAACTGGAATACTGGGACAGAAGCACATTTTAGGCACTCATTAAATATATGACACCTTAATTCTAGGTTTGAGTTTTTTTGTTAACTTTAGATAGAACAGAAAGCTCCTCTTCCCACCCAATTTTATTTCAAAATTTCATGAAATACATTACAGAATTAAAAGATGGAGGCTTCTGCTTTTCTATTGATACAATCTAGTGACTATCACTGGATCTGTGAGGATCAGATAATGTCTAACTGTCTTAATTATAAACACCACTGATCATCAAGAAGTATGGAGGGCAAGTGTTCACAGCCTATGGCATCTGCACGTGACGTGGCTTTTGAAGTGACTCACGTCTAGTGTGATGAACACAATAGAAAAATAAAAAATTGGAGCTGTGCTTCTGTGGGGGCTGAAAGAAAGAACTTACTCCGAAGAAAGTAACTTCAGTTTGAACTGTTTTGGAGTAAAGAAGATAGAGGGGAAATATAATAGAATTTCCTCTTCTTTTCTGGGGTGATGCTCCCTGATCTTTTTACTTCTATTGGACATAGCTTTATAGTTTCTTTTGCTTTGCCTTTACTTCTTTCTGGTTTGGATATACAGAAACTTTTCAAACGTGTAAAGATTTTGCAAGAACATTAAAGGAATTTTTAGAGAGAAATAAATCACCATAAATTTTGCTACCATCATACATCTAATTTAATTTTTGTCTTCTGGTCTTGGTCCATTCAATTTTATGTTTTGCTTTCATGTTCATGTCTAATTTTCATATAGACTCTTTTATAAATTTCTAGAGTTGGAATATCATAATATTATCATTTCTCTTTTTAGACATTGTTTCCAATTAATGCTTCTCCTTCATCCCCTCTACATCTGCTTCTACAGCTCTTTTCAGTAGACTTCTTCAGTAGCCTCCTAACTACCACCTAGTTTCTTCTGTCCTTAACACCACCTATTCACTGAGCAGGAATAGGAGTTGTTAAAAAAAAAAAAAAAAGTGTGAGGCATGCCTTTCCCTTGAGTTAAAGACCAAATTTCTTTCTTTTCTTTTTTCTTTTCTTTTTTTTTTTTTTAGGTGCTTAAAACAGCATTCATTATTATCTCACAGGTTTGTAGGTCAGAAGACCAGGTGGGCTCCCCTGGATTCTCTGCTCAGGGCCTCACCAGGGCAATATCAAGGTTTTCGCCAGGCTGCCTCTTATCTGGAGAAGCACTGCTTTCCAAGGTATTCCGGTGGTTGACAGATGCAGTTTCTTGTGGCTATAGGACTGAGGTTTCTTTCCTGGCTGTCGGCCAGGGGTCACTATCAGGCTCCTAGAGGTGGCTCTCTGGTCTCATGCATGGCCCCCTTCTCTTCAAAGCCAGCAACTGTGCATTGAATTCTTGCCACACTCTGAATCTTTCCTACTTTCCTTCCACGCCCGAATTTGTTAATATAACATGTAAGACCCTTTGCAACTTGTCTTAGGCCTACCTATCTTGTTTCAACTCTAGTTCTTCATTGACACCCTGGTTCTAGCCATAGTGAGCATAAAAAGAGTTTCACATCTTACTATTTCATGTCTCTGTGATTCCGCCTTCTGTTCTCTTCTGGGAGTGCTCTTCCTTCTCTTAATTTTTAAATTCAATTTACGCTTTCCCAACTCCTGTAGGTTGTTAGTACTCCTTTTTCTGCGCCTTCACCATCAGTTCTTTATGCATGTCATTTAATATAGTGTCACATTGTATTGAAATAGGTATTTTTCTCCTACCAAACTTGATTTATCTCTGCTTTAGCCATCCTATACTGAGCAGAATGTTGCGTCTGGTGAGTATTTTATACTCAATAAATGTTTGGAGAATGAGTTTTAACTTATTTTCATAGGATGAATTCCTAGTAGCAAGGGTCTTCAAATTTTGTTGTCTACTTCTCTTACCTGATTAGCGTCATCATAATTATACTTTAATTCCCTTGATTCTAGCCAGGTAATGGATAGGCTCCTAAATTACATTATTGTTTGAGAGGTTTGATTATTACTGACACATGAAGTATTGAGCTGACGAAATGAGGATTTGGTACATCATCTGCAAATTAGCATGAACTAAGTTTTGCTGTTTCAACTCCTCCAAAATCTGAGTCACATAACATAACAAAGGTGTATTTCTTGCTCATGCTTTCTTGCTACAGCTTCAGCTGTAACTACCTGAAACTAGTGAGTGTGGTGATGTGCCTATAAGAGTCTCCTAGGGGCCCAAGTGGATTAGAAATTCATCTTAAAACATACTTCTTTATCACTGAGGCAGAAAAAGGAAATATGGCAAATCTCTTACTGGCTTCTAATGTTTCTGCCCAGAGGGGACTGTCCCTTTTTCTGTGTTTCATGGATCAATGTAAGACTCACAGCCATATCTCTGTTCAAAGGAGGTGGAAAGAACAGTCCTACCATGTGCTCAGAAGAAAAGGGGAATCTTTGTCAGTAGCCCTAATGATTATCACAGTTACCGAAAGCTTGCCTTGGACTTAAATCGGTCTTAATTCCAAGATATACCGTGGAGGTTGTTTTTCTAAAAATAATTCATAGTCAGTGCTCAGATTCTAGTTAATCCAAATGTTAAACTAATAATCAGTATTTCAACTTCTGATTGACTATCATAATAGCATCAACTATGTTAAATTTCTAACATCTAATAATTACATTGTTATTATGTAAGAATATTCTTGTTTTTAAGAACAAGGGTCACGATGTCTGCAACTTACTCTCAAATGTTCAGCAACAATAACGTGTGTGTATGGAGAGAGAGAGCATATGTGGCAAAATTGGTGAATTCAGTTGGTAAATCTAGGAGAAGGATATACAGGAGTTTGTTGTACTATTCCTGCAACTTTTCTATATGTTTGATTTTTTTTCAAAATAAAATTAAAAATAAAATAGCACAAATTCACAAAGCCGTTTATAAATATCAGCATTAACCACTTTTAAACCATTTTTGCCTTTCATTGTGATTGATATTTTGAAAGTACTTCTCTGAGGCCCATAAAATGCCTGGACTATGTTAATCGGTGACCTTTCAAAAACAAAGACTGAGGCCCAAACTTTAAACCTATTTGGAAGTCTGATTTTTTTAATTCACAAATAATGCCAGATTTCATTAAAAAGCCTTTTTTTTTCCTTCTAGTTGGTTGAAATGTTGGATATGTCTGTCCCTGCAGTTGCTAAATTGAGACGTCTTTTAGATAGTCTTCCAAGGGAAGCTTTACCAGACATTTTGACATCAATTATCCGAACCAGCAATAAAGAGAAGCTCCAGGTACAGTGTTCCCTTCTTGAATGCCATGTTGCTTTGTCACTTTTTATTTAGATCTAGATAGTGAGTAAATTTTAACCTTCAAGAAAAACATTCTGGAGACTCAAAGGAGTAGTTAAAACACTTGTATACTTAAATTGATGTTCAAAAGTGATTGTTTTATATTTTTGTTTACATACGCAGCTCTTTTATTTGCAGAACCAGTATAGTAATTGGTCATTTATGGAAAAAATAAGGCACAGAATCATAAAAAGATAAATATTTAATTTAAATATGTAAACATACTTTGCCTTACCATTTTTGAAATATGAAACCATGGCCTTTCCCTTGTGTATAGACCTGCTTTCTTAGAAATTTCATAATGTTTCTTATATAAATCACACCTGTGATACATTATTTATGATTTTCAGTTTCTATTGATTTAAAGTGAAATGAGTTTTAAAGACACTTGAAAAATAATCCAAGTGTAGAATGCTAGATTTACTTGACTTGGTCCCCAAACTATAAAACTTTGTTTTCTTGTACACTTATTTTTAATGTATTTTATTTTAATTTTGAAGCTGTCTTTTTTATTAAATCTTCCTAGAATATTTGTTAGTTTTCATTGAAACAACTCTTTATTAGTTATTTAATATGTAAATCCAACAATAAAATAGCAAATATAACTAATACAAGCAGGTTGGCTGTGGATACAAGAATTCAGTTAGACTGGTGGGAGCAGAGGGCAGGAGTGGGAGCAGAGGGCAGGAGTGCGAGCGTCCCCCGGCTGAGGGCATCATCAGGTACGTTTTACCTAAGGAACCGAGAGCAGCAGTTACTCCGACAAATCATTAGTGGGGGTGGGTTCAATGCTTCTATTCGCTTGTGTATAAACATTTACTATTTTGCACCTAGAATTTGTTTCGACCTAACATGTAGACACATTCTGGGCTTTAAGAGAAAAATTTCCAGAAAAAGTTTGGTTCTTCAGAAACCAAAACTGTGTGTTCGGTTTTTGGTCTTGAAACACATGAGTGGCTTCATTTTTAAATGAAAAACCAAGATCCTTTTTCATGTCTTTTTTGTAATTCTAATATTCATCTCAAAGAACCTTGCTGTTACAGTTAGTTTGATTGTGTTAGCCATAGTGTAGCTGTAAATAGGTAGGAATTGGTTTTTTCTGTTTTTACTTAACAATTCGAACCATGTCTCTGATTGTCTGCTTTGGAGGGTGTGTTTCTCAGGGAGAGATTCTATTAATTGACTCACATTTCCTTAGATTTTAGATGCTGTGAGCCTAGAGGAGAGGTTCAAGATGACTATACCACTGCTTGTCAGACAAATTGAGGGCTTGAAATTGCTTCAAAAAACCAGAAAACCCAAGCAAGATGATGATAAGCGGGTAAATATTTCTTTTAATCCATTTTTTCAGGCTTGTGTGGTGTGGCTTGATTCTGTTTTTTTGAAAAAAAAAAAAAATTGAGGGGAGTAAAGAAAGGAACAAAGAAGAAAAAATTCATTGTCTTTTTCCACTGAAGTCACTGATAAAGTTTAGGTGTGTTTTCCTCTAGTGCTTTTTCCGTGCCTGGATTTTTTTTTTTTTAAGGCATATAAGCATTTTTCTCAATTTTTTTGTTTTTTGTTTTGGTTACCATCCAAAGGGATAATTTATCAGCCACTTCCCCTTTTGTCAAACATCTTGTGTTGTTTCCAATGTTTTGCATATTTAAAAAACTATCAAATAACTATGATGATTGTCTTCGAGTATAATATTTTTTTTACTGCATAATACAAAATTATTTCCTAGGAGGACTGTGTGTTGTGCCATAATTTGGTTGACTTTTTTGTTTTAACTTATAAAAGTCTCAGTTTTTATTTAGTGAAACTCTCAGTCTTTTCTTGTCTTCCAAGCTTAGAGTCTTCTAACCTCCAGTGGTTTGATAAATATTCACTTTTCTTTTGGTTGTCCTTTAATCAATGTTTTAAAAAGTATTTAACCTGTATGTTATTTATTTTGTCCTGTTAATAAGATGAAGACAGTAGTTATGTTTTTCCCTCAAATAGCTTTTGATGTGACTCAAAACCACTAATTAAATAATCTTTCCCTTCCCCATTATCAAACTAATGTCTATATGATCTGTTTGAAGTTTACTTTGAGCTGTTAATTTTACTGTTTTTATGCCTGGGCAGAGTTAAGTTCAGGAAGATATATTTGATGTGAACAAGATGTGAAAATGGTAGTCCTCTAAAGGCTGCTGGAGATGCAGAAAGAACTCTTAAGAAGACTTAAGTGAAGTGTTGAGAATAATGTTAGCGACTTGATGGTCATCAGCATGGACGTGTTTCTTCACCAAAGGAAATACGTTGTAGAGAAAGAAGAGTGGAAGGAAAGGACTCCTCCTTGGAGGCACTAGAGAAGGGGCAGGAAAGTAGGCCGAGGAGAGAGACAGGAGTAGTGATCACCATGCTGGTGCTTAGTACTCTGGGACACCATGCTGTTAAACACTAGAAATATGGATTATTTCTGGCTTGAGATCAGATCAGTGACTCAGTTATTCATTTTGTGTAAAAAGACAAATCTACGTCCACTCTGCACTGAGAGTCGCAGAAAACTGCAGCTTACTGTCAATAAAGGTCACCATCAGTTAAAAAGAAAGGTGTTCAAAAGTGCACCAGAAAATGATCAAACAAGAGACAATTATTTAAAAATGTAAGAATCAAAGGATAATATTTGGACTTAGTCTAAAATTGTCTCTTTGTCATCCCCCTAATTAAGAGTTGAAAAGCACTGTTTTAGCAGTCAGAAGAAAAAAATTCATAAAAAAGTACTTTTGCCTCAATAATGAAATCATTGATATGCTTTTTTAAATCTCACTTTTAAAAAATACTTTATTTTCAGGTTTTTATCCTTTAAAATACTTTATTAATTTTATCTACTAATGACTTATATAAGAATAAAATATATATTTAATATTTATTTTTATAAAATTGCAATTTTATTTACTGCTTTATGTTTCAAACTTTTTATATTTGAATGTATTAGACAATTTCCCAGGTTAGAAAAGTAAATTCTAGAGGCTTGTAAATTAAATATCAGTGTATCATTTTGCTCCAGTGATGATCGGAGTTGATAAATGAATTTCAAAGAGCACATAAGGTAGTTCTAAAATGTGGTGGAGAGATCATGGAGAAAAGAGAACACGAACAGACATCCTTTGACTTGGCACAAAAGATGGTTGTTAGAGTTGAAAGAACAATTTCAGCACAATGAGAACAGAAGCCAAAGGCTTCCTGAAGTAATTGATGGGGAAGGGGAAGTGGTGGTTATTGCTGCTTGTCAGAGAAGCAGAATCTCACAAGGGAAGTACGTAGTGTAGTAGTATCTTACTGGAAGGAACTAGAGGTAAGATAATATTTTGAAAGGGAGAAGACTTTCTGTATTGAAGACAGAATGAGCCAGTGGTAGAAAGGTCAAAGATGCTAGGGAGAAATTTTGTAATGTAGGAAAAATGGAATTTATTCAGTCACCAAATGGTAATCAGTAATGCATATCAAGAAAATAGTGGCTGTGGTAGTAGCTCAAAGAAAGGTAATTCCTACATGTTTTAATTATTTCTAGTAACTAGTTCCTTGAAATTTTTTCCCATGCAATATTACTGTAAGCATATATCAAAGAAACATGTCTACCTTATGTTGGTCTACTTTTAAAATTCTGCTGCCTCCATGTGTACGTATGTTTGGACATAGTGTTTTTTTCAGTTATCCCTGTATTCTTTGCATGCCACTGTTTTCTTCTTTAGATAATAAACTCTAGAGAATAGGGACTGTCAGTTTCTCTTTGTACAAGAGAAAGTTTGGGGAAATGTTGACAGAATAGGATATATAGGTTGATTGCATTATCATTCCGAACTTTAGTTCCTTATGATACTGACTGTAGCCATAAAAAATGTTCATGCTATTCAGCACTGATCATAACTTTACATGTGTGTAACTAGGTATTTCATTTCCAATTTATTTTGACATGGTTTTACTCTTCTACTTTCTAGGTTATAGCAATACGCCCTATTAGGAGGGTTACACACATTCCAGGTACTTTAGAAGATGATGATGAGGATGAAGATAATGATGACATTGTCATGTTAGAGAAAAAAATACGGACATCCAGTATGCCAGAGCAGGCCCATAAAGTCTGTGTCAAAGAGATAAAAAGGTAAATTATGTAAGCCATTTATTCATTTGATTTATTAATGTTAAAAATTGTTGCTCGTGGAAACTCGATTCTGTTACTTTGGATCAGAGACTGAAAGCTGAGTCATCTGTTTTATATTTTCTGCTCTTCTTTCCTTGTGGTTGATGTGCTCATAGACTATCCATTCATCTTACCTTTCCATTGCCAACTCTTATCTTTCAAGACTTTGCTAATTCTCAGTTTATACCTTTGATCTATGGAATGTTTTTCCCTCTTCCTTCATTTTTCAACTGGAATCTAATTCTTAAGACATTCTTAATACTCCTGAATTAACATCACTTTCACTAATCTTTTTCTCAAATACCAAGAATAAATATACAACTCTTCCACCTACAGTATGCCGTCAACATTGTAACTATTGTAGCTGCCTTTTCATTGTCTAAAACAATGGTCTGTACTTCTTTATTTTGAGAATATATGTTCAGTTATCACTGTGTTCTTCACATATTACTGTTTTCTTTAGATTATAAATTCTACAGGGCACAGACTGTCAGTTTCTTTTTGTATAAGACAAAGTATGGGCAAATCTTGATGACAGAATAGGACATATGGGTTGATTGCATATTCTGGATAACCTCAGGGTTAAATGAAAACCATTTTTTCCTTACATACTTACAACTTTATAACTATATTGCATTTTCTTTTATTAGTGAAATGTAATGAGCCTGCTTCAATGCTCAGTAACTTAAGAGTTGACCTTCTGGGGTCCATAGTTAAGAACATTAGTAAATGTAGTTGAGGGGTATTTTATATTGACTCTGACATTAGTTCATGAATGTCGAACATCTCTTATGGGTAGAACACTGTGCTAAGCACTGCATACATTATGGAAGTTGCATTTTTATTAAATATATGGGTCAGATAATAGAGGTAGAGGCAAGACGGCGGACGAGAAAAACTGCCAGCCAGAGTGTCTCTGCAAGAAGGATAGATTTTAGATGAAAGTGAAAAAAACAAACAGGCAGACAAACATAGATTGCATAAGGGTCAGAAGGAAGGGTGCCTGAAACTGCAGGAGACTCCATGGGAAATTGGGGAGCAGAACTGGAAGGAGAAAGGCATCATCAGGGTCTAAACCCCTAGAGGCTTGGAGACCAGCAACAAGGGTAGGTGGAGCAGTTAAATTTCCCCTCTCTTGCATCTGGGACTGCTGGTGGGCTCCGGAGCTGCTGGAGAGACCTGCCAACACCAGCCCAGAGATGGCTGACACCAGTGATCAGTTAGCCTCTGTGGACAGGACACCAGGCTCCCAGCTCCTCGGGGCACCTCCTGCCCCGCAGACCCCAGCCGATTGGCAGGCACCATACTGCTTCATTCTCCCCTTCCCCTTTGGTACCGGCAGCTGCTGAGAGAGACAATTTAGTCACCACCCTGAGGCATCTGCAAAGAACAGGACCTTTCCTTTTGGGGCCCTGCAGCGTACTGAAGGGTACTCAGACTGTGAGCTCCCTACCTGCTGGCTCTCCCAGGTGCTGCTTGCCTGTTGACTCCAGCAGAGCGGGGCAAATCCTGAGGCGGAGAGACAGTGATCCAGCTTGGGCACCCTGTGGGTGATTTGAGACCAGCACTCCTCTCCCTGGCAGGGTCAGGGATTGATCTCCGGGGCCCAGGGAACAGGCCTACAGACTACATCCCGTACACCCAGGTCCCGATCCCATTGCCCGGGGGCACAGAAAGGATATTTGTGAACTAGTATGTGTTCACAGGGTGAACACTGAGGTGTGTGTGCCTTCAGGGGTAGATCAGAGTGGATCCTAGTTGCAGTGTGCTAAAGGGGCACCCCTCCCACGGGAGGGCCACGCTCCCAGCTCAGGCTGCGATCCTTGGCAGGGAACCTCCCGGCTCACATCACAGCCAGGGGAGATCTGCTGGCTTCAGGTCCTGCCTGCTGGCAGAAGCCAGGGAGAAACCTCAGAATAGGGGAGGGTTGAAAGAACCAAGGACTGCTCCAGACTGTGGGTCTCAGACAGCCCCACCTCCACACACAGAATTTTTGGCTGAGTGGGGCCATTTCAGCCCTTCCCTGGCAGCTTTGCCCAGAAGCAGAGAACAGACCTTTGACCCCTCCTAACAGCATTTGTGGAGCTTGAGGGCAGACTCACCCAACCCAGCTACACCCAGCCATGCTCCCCCACCTGCCCCCACTGAGTCCAAGAATAAGGACACACATGGAAGTCCCAGAGCCCCACCCACCACCTGAGGCACTAGAGTGCCCCTCCAGAGGAACTAGAGCTGGTCACAGGACCCCAAAATAACATTGCAGCTTTCTCCTCACAGCAGGCACCACCTACTGGCAGGGAGGTCAATTTGCATGCCCTTTTACTGCATTCACTGACTCATCACACAGAGTGTGGTCGATTCTCACCCACAAGCACCACCTACTGGCTCAGACACTAAACTGGGCATGTCATTGTCTAAACAAATATTCAAAGAAGCAACAGCTGCTCCAGATAGGAAGGAATCAGTGCAAGAACTCTGGAAGTATGAAGAATC